TGACATCATTCATGATTCTGACATCATTCATGATTCTGACATCATTCATGATGGTAACATCATTCATGATTCTGACATCATTCATGTATTTTGTCTTATTTTTATGTTTGCTGTGTTTTCTGTATATGCCGTGCATTTATGTATTTGGAGAGTTTTTCACTGAAAAGCTTTGTCATATTATTTCTTCTTATGAAGCAAAGCTCTAACATGGCCTTTAAAACAAATGCATAACACTAACACTACTGAACTAATCAGCTGCTCCTCTGTCTGTGTTCTTTGCTGGTGTTTAGATGTTCGTAGTAGAGAGCGCATCAGGAGAGCGTTGCTGCCTGAACGAGTTCTCTGTGACTGGATCTACTTATGCCCCTGAGGGGGAGGTGTGAGTGAATTAACCTTGAGCTCTTATATTAACCTGGGGACGTCTGTGTGCGCTGAGTCATTGTTTAACAAATGGTTGCTCTTTGTCACTGCTTTGCCTTTTCTTCTGATATCTGATTTTCATCTCTGCAGTTACAAGGATGGCTCAGTGGTGAAATGTGGTCAGTACGATGGCCTGGTGGAGATGGCCTCCATCTGTGCTCTATGCAATGACTCATCACTAGACTACAATGAGGTAACCACTGCTAACATCGCCATGGCGACTGCTCCTTCACTGATGACTAAACCTGCATCATGAAGTCAGTATTGACCAGCTCGGATGCATCCATCTTTCTCTGTTCCTCTAGACGAAGGGCGTTTACGAGAAGGTTGGCGAAGCGACAGAGACTGCCCTCTGCTGCCTGGTGGAGAAAATGAACGTGTTTGATATGGATCTGCAGGGATTGAGCTGTGCTGAGAGAGCTACAGCCTGTTGCTCTGTAAGCTTTGTCCATCCTCTGTTTTATGCTATCAGCTCTGGATATTAACACATGAAGAAATGTTTTTTTTATGTTAAATGTATAAACAAAGCATAGAATCTGAGCATGATAGACAGATCGACCCAGTTGATCCATATCAACTGGGTTACAAAGTTTGTCTTTGTTATGTCAGAAAAACATAGTTAGGCATTTGTCTCAATTAGGCTGCACTGGTTTTTAAAACAGAGACAACAACTTACAAAAATCATTATCATCATCATTATCAGCATCACCATCATCATCACCATCATCATCTTTCTTCAATGATAAACTTTGTTGGTCTCTGATAATGAAGTAAAGCAAGTGAAAGTCTCATTCACCAGTGAAAGCAAACTTTAAATTCCTAATACTTTGTTCAAATCATAAAGGGGCTACTCGGTATTTAATGTATAACGTGTTTGGTGCGTACTTAAGGAAAGAGTTTACCGGGTTCTCTAATAGACAAAACAAGTTTTTACTTGTTTAATGCAAAGATCAATAACTCATTCCTCTCTAAAGCAAACCCCCGCTGGGGGAGGAAGATCACAGTGTTGTTTTCTCTGCTCAGATATGGTCAGAGTATCTTTTGGTCATTTAATTTTCCTTTTACAAAAGGATATCAAAAAGCAAGTAGCTGTTTCAATTACCTTTTAGAATATAAAAGTTAAAGGATGTCTCTCTTTTTCTCCTGTTTAAAAGGAAAGAGCGAAAAGTCAGAAAAGATTTTGAGTGAAAATGAAAAGTGAAATTTGTGTTAAACAGCAAAAAGACCTTCTTTCTTTTTACGCGTTGACAACAGACCTTTGTCGTTGGTCAGTGAACCTCCTGACTCAGGCAGCTGTCAGTGAGTATCTACAGTCATTCCTCTAACCACTGCCTCACCTTTGGGCTGTATCCTCCACCCTCTGCTCTACACTACACTCCTGCACATTGGCTCTGCTAAACAAATATGTAGGTGGAGGAATAGGAAAACGGTCATGGACTGCAGGAGAGTAGATCCCACTCCCACCTCCTGTTTGAAGGAGAAGCTGCCAAGACGGTCCACAGCATGAAGTACCTGAACAGTCAGCATTGCCTACCAACACGAAGGCTCTCTAAGGAGGATAAAGCAGACTGTTCCCCACAGTCCTCACAGTGTTCTACCAGTGTGTGCTGGAGACAATCCCTCGCCTCCTCCATCACCTCCTGGTATGTAAACAGTTGGACAGGAAGGCCGCGCAGAGGGTGGCGGCAATAGCACAGAAGAAACCTTCTGCAGCCTGTTGTCCATGGAGGACATGCAGAGTAGCAGGAGAGCGGCCCACTTTCTGGGCTCACTTTCAGCCATTCTGCAAAAGGACTTCAGCATCAGGGACAAAACTAAAAGACTGGAATCTGGATCACCATACCTGCAATCCCTTACTGCTGTTAAAAAAGGTTAGAAAACAATCCACTGGACTTTGTTTGAAGTTTGAAGACGTTTCACTTCCTGTCTAGGAGGTTTTTTCAATTTAAATGCCCACCTTTCAGAGACATAGACAGGTATGGGGCATTGCAGGCTAACAAAGAAGCTAAACGATCCCCATTCCAAAGGGGTGGACCCGTTTGTCTGTTTCAATTTTAATGTTTTCTAAACCAAAACAAGGCTTTGTTGGGCTGCTGGATAAAACCTGGAACGCTATTCCTGACATTTTGAATAGAAAAAGCTTCCTGGATGGAAGAGAAACGTCTTCAAACTCAGAAACAAAGTCCAGTGGATTCTTTTCTAATATTTTTGGAATGACTGAGAATATTCACTAGCATTACTGCTGGTGTTTGTATTATTATATCTATTTATCCTTTTAACTTTTTAATCTATTTTAATGCACTTTGATGTTCTTCATGCTTTAATTGAGGAGTAGCATCAGCAGCTCGGGTCTCTGCCATTTACAAACACTTTGTACCACAGGAATATAAAAATGTGTGGTGTCGGAATTTTAATCTGTTTTATAAGTATTAGGGCCAGGCTAGAGATTTTTTTTTTCTATTTCGAGAATAAAGTCGTAACATTACTGTCATGATGCGATGGTTTTACTAGCCCAAATGCAGACTCACAGACACAGAGGGAGGATTAAAGTCCAGTATTTAATTGGAAC